CATAAGGTATAATGGGGCCGAACTGCGGGAAGCCGATTCTTCTGCTTGCCCACCTCTCGCCTCTGCACCTCATCTTCTGCCAGGCATGGAGGAGCCCAGCTCGCCCAGGCTTCTTGCCTCCTGCTGCCTTGGCAATGCCTCTGGCCCAGCCCCCCACCCCCACCCCGGTAATTGGAAAGTCTACACCCTTGCCTGGCTCTGTGTAGCAATCCTGGAATTCCTTGGTGGTCTCCCATCCAAATACTGGCCGGGGCCAACCTTGCTTGGCTTCCAAGAGCTCACGAGACTGGGCACCCCTACCTGTGCTTAAAGCAAGCATGGGGAGGGGGGTTTAGGGTTGCCAGGTCACCCCTGGCCACCAGCAGGGGATGGTGGGATAGCATTGCCAGATCCAGGTTGGGAGACTCCTGGAGATTTGGGGATGGAGCCTGTGGAGGACAGGAACCTCAGTGGAGCACAATGCCAGAGAGTCCCCCCTCCAAAGCATCAATTTTCTTTCAAGGAACTGATCTCTGTCATCTGGAGGTGAGCTCTAATTCCAGGGGATCCCCAGGTTCCACCTGGAGGCTGGCATCTCTAGGACAGATGATCATGGAAACCCTTCTCCAGCATAATTGCCCTGATCGCTATCACTCCCCCCAGTGGCTTGGGCAGTTCTTTAGGACCAAATTATACATCTGGAGTTCCAAGGAATTCCATCCTAACGTATAATTGGGCCCTGACAAATGCACCTTCCCAGCTGTGAGGGTGTGTGTATGGAGGTGGTTGGCTTCTTTTCTACAATGGATTTTTTCCCCCATCATTCATATCTGTGCCTTAATTCAGCCATGGGTGGGAGGGAGAGCTGGAAGCATTTATAAGAGTAAGGCCTGCCCCCTTCTCTTTGCTCCTTACGAAATTCTCTTTCTCCAGACCCCTGCACTTAAAGAAAGGGGAAAAGAATAGCACTGCTTTGTCAAAAGAGCGGGGTCTAAATAAAACCGATTCCCCCGCCTTCCGCACCTCAATCACTTTTATCTGCTCTTTGTCCAACATCTCTCCCCAAACCTTTCATGCCAAAACAAATCAGGAGGAACCCCACCTGATCAGCCTCTGGCTGGGCTTGTAATGTTTCAGACTGCCGGCGTGGGACTGGACGTTTCGATGCTTCCGTAACATTAAAAAAAATAAAGTCCCCATGACTTTATACAAAACTATCACATCAGAGTGAAGTTTCTAGGCTCGCTTCTCCTCTGGCGTTCCGGTTCTACATTAATAGGAAGTCTTTTTATGTGAAGGAACATTGTAAATTCCCTTCCCGATGCTGCGATCTGAAACGGTACAGCCCAGCAGGAAATCTATCCTACGGGGCCTTCCTTTGTCCATTTCAGATCTTAGAGCCAGTCTTCTCCACGAACATTCTCTTGGTCTTCTTTTAAAACTGAGAATCATCATTTCCTTTGGAGTACAGAAGAACGGCCGGGGGTGGGTGGGAGAGAGACGGTTCCGCTTTTTCCCTTGCTGACTTTTGCCATACAGAATTCTCCCCTCCCCACAGATGCTTCCCCATTAGGGTTGCCAGCAATGCTCCCTCTAAGCTGCGGAGTCTTGTGAGCAGAAATTCTACTTTGTGAGCTGCTGGCATTAAAGTTGTGAGCAAACAATTTGGCTGCTGCATGAATTAGTTTGCTCTGGAGCCCTCCTTCCTGAGCTGAGACAAAAATGTGTGAGCTGGAGGCTAAAAAACTGTGAGCTAGCTTACACTAACTCAGCTTAGAGGGAACACTGGTTGCCAGGTCTGGGTTGGGAAATACCTGGAGACTTTAGGAGTGGGTCCAGGAGAGGGCGGGGTTTGGGAAGGGGAGGGGCCTTGGCACGGTAGAACGCCAGGAGAGCTGATCTTCGTCAGCTGGGGTTCAGTCGTAAAAGCGGGATATCTCCAGGCCCCACCTGGAGGCTGGCAACCCTGTTCCCCATTAGGGTTAGCGGCCAAGCACTGGCAATGGGGGAGAGTACTAGGCAGGATTGCCAACCTCCAGGTGTGACCTGGAGTTTCCCCACTATGACGATTGATCTCCAGATGGCCAAGATCTGTTCCCCTGGAGAAAATGCCTGCCTTGGAGGGCTCTCTCTATGGCATGGTACCTTGCCGAGGTCCCCAGAACCTGCCCTGCCTAGGCTGCACCCCCAAAATCTCCGCATATTTCCCAACCCAGAGGTGGCAGTTCTGGTTCTAGGAGACAAGGGCATTCAGATCCATGTCGCAGCTCCACTGTGGTGCCAGTTCCCCACCAGTCTTCTTCTGCTGCCACACCAGACAGCAGTCAGGGCTGGGAGGTTTTCCCATCCTCTACCCACAGGGAACGGACTTATTTTGTAATACTGTAATGCCCCTGTATAGATCTATGGTGGAGGGGGGAGGAGGAGGAGATTGGATTTATACCCTGCCCTTCACTTGGAGTCTCAGAGCGGCTTACAAACTCCTTCCCCTTCCCCTCCCCACAACAGACACCCTGTGAGGTAGGCGGGGCTGAGAGAGCTCTTGACAATGACTGCTCTGTTTCAAGAACAGCTCTGATAGAACCATGGGTCATTTCCTACAGTAGCACACAGGAGTGGAGTTCCGTGTCCCCCTCCCCCCCAATAGCTAGCAATCCAAAACAGTCCAGTGGAGCCTGAGCGGTGGGTGTTGCCTTCTGACACACTTCCGGTGATGTCAGAGGTGTGTGGCATATGCAAATAAGTTATGCTAATGAGTTATGCTAATGAGCTCCTGCACCTCTTTTTCTACAAAATGACCCCTGGACCAGAACTATGGCTTGCCCAAGGTCATCCAGCAGCTACAAGTGGAGGACTGGGGAATCAAACCCGGTTCTCCCAGATTAGAGTCCGCGCCCCTAACCACTACACCAAACTGGCCCTCAAACTGGTATGGCTTCCTTTGGAATACTGTGTACAGTTCTGGTCCCAAAAAGGATATTGCAGAGTTGGGAAAAGGTACAGAGGAAGGCGACCGAGATGATTAGGAAATTAGAGCACCTTTCCTATGAGGGAGGGCTGAGGCGTTTGGCACTTTTCAGTTTAGAAAAGAGACGACTCATGGGGGACATGAGGGTTTTTTTATAAAATTATGCAGGGGGTTGAGAGAGTTGGCCGAGAGAAATTGTTCTCCCTCTCTCAAAATACTAGAACTCAAGGGCATCCAATGAAGTGGATGGACAGCAGTTTCAGGACGGACTAAAAGAAATACTGTTTTACACAGAGAGGGATTAAAATGTGGGATTCGCTGCCAGAGGAGGTAGTCATGGCCACAGAAATAAACAGCTTTAAAAGGGGATTCGATAGATTAATGGAGGAGAAGTCTATCAATGGCTATGAGGCATGGTGGCTGAGGGGAACCTCCCCATTCAGAGGCACTAAGCCTCTGAATCCCAGAGCCAGGAGGCAACATCGGGGGAAGGCCTCGGCTTCTCTGCCCTGTTGCTGGCCCTCCAGAGGAACTGGTTGGCCCCTGTGTGAGACAGGATGCTGGACCAGATGGACTCTCACTGGCCTGATCCAGCAGGGCTCTTCTTATTTTCTTCTGTTGTTATCTTTCCCCACGCAGTTTGGACGCTGCAGTTTTGACATGTAGTACAAGGGGAAAGGGTTCCAAGACGCCTCCTTGCTGTCCTTCCACCGAAAGCATTAGCATTGGCATAGATCTGTACTAGCGTCTTATGATAATGAATTGTTTTAGAAGGTTTTATGAGCTGCGGTGGCTCAAGTGGTTAAGACGCTGGACTGCAGGCTGTGGAAGGTCAGTAGTTCAGCGAGACCCGAGTGTGCCGCATGACAGAGTGAGCTCCCGTCTCTAGTTCCAGCTCCTGCCAACCTAGCAGTTCGAAAGCAAGAAATTGCAAGTAGATAAATAGGTACCACAATACTCTCTGTGTCAAGGTCCCCATGCAGTTTGGACGCTGCAGTTTTGACATGTAGTACAAGGGGAAAGGGTTCCAAGATGCCTCCTTGCCGTTCTTCCACCGAAAGCATTAGCATCGGCATAGATTGTACTGGCGTCTTATGATAATGAATTGCTTTAGAAGGTTTTATGATTCTTAAAATGGTTATCGATGTGTTTTTATCTCTTAAAGTAAGCTGCCCTGAGCCTGCTTCGGCAGGGAGGGCGGGGTATAAATTGAGCAAACAAACAAACGGATAGAAGTAACAGCCTCCCGTGTGTGCTTAGAATTATTATTGTTTTCTGAGCCAGTAGACAGTTCATGTGCCCTGACCTGCATGGCCCAGGCTAGCCTGATCGCATCAGATCTCAGAAGCTAAGCAGGGTCAGCCCTGGTCAGTATTTGGATGGGAGACCGCCAAGTCTCTGTGCAGAGACAGGTAACAGCAAACCACCTCTGAATGTCTCTTGCCTTGCAAAACCCAAGGGGCCACCATGAGTCAGCTGAGACTTGTTGGCACTTTACAAACACACAGACTGTTTGTGTATCTCCCGGATACCTCCTACTTTGGAGCGTATTTGCCGCTTGAACCTCCCCTTCCCCTGACTACGTTCTTTTGACCCCTGTTTCTCAGCCTTAGAATAATAGAATCATAGAGCTGGAAGATACCTCCAGGGTTATCTAGTCCAACCCCCTGCATAAGGCAGGAAATTCACAAATGCCTCCCCCCCCACACCCCCAGTGACCCCTCTTCTACACCCAGAAAATGACAAAAAACTTCCAGGATCCCTGGGGGCCAAACTGGCCTGGAGAAAAATTGTTTCCTGACCCCAAAGTGGCGATTGGCGTTTCCCTGGGCGTGTAAGGAAGGGCCACGAGAACTAAGCACTGAGGCAACCCTCCCTGCCCTCCCTTCTCATGATCTGCCCAAGTTCACAGAATCTGCATTGCTGTCTAGCCTCTGTTTGAAAACCTCCCAAGAAGGAGAGAGCCCACCACCTCCCGAGGAAGCCGGTTCCACAGAGGAACTGCTCTGAGCGCCAGGAAGTTCTTCCTAATGTTTAGCCTTGTCGCTCCCACCTTGTCTGCTGATTGGGAGGTGCCGAAGAAGATGGGCACGAAGGCCAGCCAGACAATGCAGGTCGTGTACATGGTGAAGCCAATGGGCTTGGCCTCGTTGAAGTTCTCAGGCACGCCGCGAGCCTTGATCGCGTAGACGGTGCAGGTGACCATCAGGAGGATACTGTAGCTGAGGCAGCAGATGATGGACAAGTCCGACATGTCGCATTTGAGCACCCCCTGAGCGAACTCGGGGTTGGGCGTACGCTGTTCTTCGTAGTCAATGATGCTGTGGGGGGGCTGGACCCCCAGCCAGATGACCACGCTCACGATCTGGATGGACATGAGGCTGAAAGTGATGGCCAGCTGGGAGGTGGGGCTGATGAACCGGGGAGGGGTCACCGACTTCTTGCCTTGCTCGAAAATTCGGTAGATGCGGTTGGTTTTCGTCAACAGGGCTGAATAGCTGATGGCCATGCCCAAGCCCAGGAAGAGGCGCCGAAAGGCGCAGACGGTGACGCCGGGCTCCGCGATCATCAAGAAAGTGATGGAGTAGATGAGGAAGATCCCGGTGAGGAGGACGTAGCTCAGCTCGCGACCCGAGGCCCGGACGATGGGCGTGTCGTTGAACCGGATGAAGGTGATGACAATGAAGACTGTACCGAGAATACCCAGAATGGCTAAGAAGAGGGGCAGGACGGCCCAGGGGGAACTCCATTCCAGCTTGACGATGGGCGTTGGGCGACAGGCCGTGCGGTTGAGGTTGGGCCGCATGTCAAAGGGGCACATTTCGCAGGTGAACTCATCCAGCTGGTACTGGTAGCCGTCGCACAGCTCGCAATGCCAACAGCAGGCTACCCCCTTGACCATCTTCTTCCGTTCACCTGAGTTACAGGGAAGGCTGCAGACCGAACTGGGGATCTCTTTCTGGCCGCCAGACCACTGCATGTCCTCAATCTGTGGAAGACAGAGAATAATGCCACACAACAGTGATTTTGCCACCGTGCTGCAAAGAATGTAAAGGATGGGGACAGAGGGGAGTATTTATTTATTTATTTATCATATTTATACCTCGCCCATCCCGCGAACGGCTCAGGGCGGCTATCAAAGCGGTACCATGTACCCAGTAATATACCATAAAAATCTTAAAAACTCTATAAAATCACATACTCAATTCAGCACATAAGTTAACAATTAACAATAAAGTGCATACAGTAATAGAATTAGATGGCGTATCCCAGATCTCCATCTCTGATCATCATCCATCGCTCCGCTGGTCCTGGCGATATGTCTGTGCTGGACCTAGGATCCAAGCTTTCACTAGGATCATTGGTGGTAACAGTAGTGGCGGCTCCTATTGGAAAGCCTGGCGGAAGAGCTCCGTCTTGCAGGCGATGCGGAACTGTAGAAGGTAGGTGCAGAGTAGAGCAAGGAGGATGATCAGGGGCCTGGAGTCCAAGGACGATTCTGTCTTTTCCCTCTGTTGTTTTAGCAAACCCATGGTGGAGCAGAAATTCCCCTTTGCATTGCATGCCGCTTTCACTTCCTTTGATCATCGGATTTTATGGTACCCTCTGCACTGCATGCCGCTTTCCCTTCCTTTGATCATCGGGTTTTATTGTACCTTCTGCATAGATTTATGGCCGTTTGATGGCCGTTCAGGGGGTGACTTTGCAGTCAGTACGGCATTGGCCCGGGGTATTTGAATGTTGTTTTGAGCGGCACCTTTTCCTCAGTGTTGAGAAAAGGTGGAGCGAATGCCAGATGCAGAACGAGCTCAAGCCTGAGGAGGAAAGGCTGTGGGACCTGGGAATGTTCATTCTGGAGAAGAGGAGGTTGAGGGGGGACAGGATGGCTCTCTCTAAGTTATTTGAAAGGTTGTCCCTTAGAGGAGGGCAGGGAGCCGTTCCTGTTGGCAGCAGAGGACGGGACTCGCCATAATGGGTTTAAATTACGGGTGGAAAGATAACGGCTGGATATTAGGCAAAATTATTTTTACAGTAAGAGTAGTTCAGCAGTGGAATCGGCTGCCTAGGAAGCTGGCAGTCGTCATGTAATAGCCAAAAATGAGAGATCACGGGAGGAAGTGGAATACCAAAAACAACATCCGTGAAGACCTTGGGTTCTGTTATTAGAGAGTCAACACGGAATGTTTACTTCAAGAGTTGATAAGTAGTCATTGATAAGAACTGGGATTGCTACACGCTCAGATAAAGCGCATATTGTGAAACAAATTGTTTTCAGTGCGCAGTATTCGTTGCGTGGGAGCGGTTATAGAAGAAAATTTTCTACGGAATTACTACAGTAAACGTTTTTGCAACTTATCTTTACTTGACTCTTCCGTTATTTTTGTCACGGATGTTGTTTTGGGGTATTCCCCTTAGTCTTCAAGTAATGGCTGGGTGAACACTTGTGAGGGATGCTTAAGGTTGATCCTGCATTGAGCAGGGGGTTGGACTAGATGGCCTGAAGGACCCCTTCCAACTCTATGATCTTATGAATTGAACACTGCAAAGATTCTATGAGTGGAATTCTGCAATTCCCCAGAAACTTATCAGGGGGCTTATCGGTGAGAAGATTGTGTCAGCAAGCTGCCATTCTGTTTTCTGCCCGCCACTACCACCGATTATCCCAGCAATGAGTAGCTGCAGGAGAATACTGGGAATATCCCAGGTTTCGTTCTCAGTTCACGGGAGATAACCGGGAGTTCCAACGAGCTTGGACTGTGCCTCACTCTAAATGAGTTTGCTTCTTAAATTATGCCCCAGAATCCTTTGCAACAGATGGGGTTTCATCCATGAGAGATGTTCAGGGGTTCCCTGGCAGATAAATGATTACGAAAAATAGACAGGAGACTTGAATGTGTCCAAAGGATAGCATTCTGGAGCCTTGAAAAGCTGCACCATTCGGGCACCAGAACAGACCTTTTCAGTCATTGCATTTTAACATGCATATGGGGAGAGTGTGCTACGTATATACGGTTGCCGGGTTTCCACTACATGTGACTGTAACAAGATTGATAATGTCAGAAAAGACCAAACACTGCCCGCCACTACCACCGATTATCCCAGCAATGAGTAGCTGTAGGAGAATACTGGGAATATCCCAGGTCTCGTTCTCAGTTTACGGGAGATAACCGGGAGTTCCAACGGGCTTGGACTGTGCCTCGCTCTAACTGAGTTTGCCTCTTAAATTATGCCCCAGAATCCTTTGCAACAGATGGGGTTCCATCCATGAGAGACGTTCAGGGGTTCCCTCGCAGATAAATATTTACGAAAAATAGACAGGAGGCTTGAATGTGTCTAAAGGATAGCATTCTGGAGCCTTGAAAAGCGATAGTGGTAATTCCATTTTATCCATACAACAGAACTCTCAGATTGGGTCGGCCATGAGAGAGTGAGTCTGGCCGAGAAGCCCAGGGAAGGATGACCAAGCAGGGATTCATGTAATGCCTCAGTCCGGCATGTCATCCACTGTCAAGGCCATTTTAAACAGCTATACCCTTTTAAGTCCACTGAAGCCAATTGGCTTGGAAAGGTGTAAATCTACTTACAAGGTTGCCAGGCACGGGCTGGCAGCTGGTGGAAGATGGTGGGGGGGAGGCAGAAACTTAATGAGGGGCATGACTGTCATCCTGGCATGATGACAGAACTTCCAGCACGAACAAAGGGAACATAAGAGAAGCCATGTTGGATCAGGCCAGTGGCTCATCCATTCCAACACTCTGTGTCCCACAATAAGGCCATCCAGTCCAATGCTGTGTGTCACACAGTGGCCAAAACACAGGTGCCATCAGGAGGTCCACCAGCGGCTTTAGGAACATAAGAGAAGCCATGTTGGATCAGGCCAGTGGCCCATCCAGTCCAACACTCTGTGTCCCACAGTGGCCAAAACCCAGGGGCCATCAAGAGGTTCCCCAGTGCCTTTAAGAACATACAAGAAGCCATGTTGGATCAGGCCAGTGGCCCATCCAGTCCAACACTCTGTGTCACACAGTGGCCAAACCCCAGGTGCCATCAGGAGGTCCACCAGCGGCTTTAGGAACATACAAGAAGCTATGTTGGATCAGGCCATCCAGTCCAATGCTGTGTGTCACACAGTGGCCAAAACACAGGTGCCATCAGGAGGTTCACCAGCAAGGCCGTGACCCAGAAGTGTTGGCTAATGCTGGGGGTGACTCACTCACTCCAAAATTCTATTGCTGCCGCATTGCCCCCAGTGTGATGCTGTTGCTTCTGGGTTGCACTGGAAGTTGTGTCATCGCATGGGGTGATGATCTCAGACCCCAGTCTGGCTGGCCAGTTTCCACCCGCTGACCAGTTGAGCATTGGTGGGCAATGCCCGTAATCCCCTGGAGGGGGGTCTCCTGCCATAAGCGTGTAAATGGTAACCTTATCTGTTTAGGAGGGTACTGTATAGCACACTGGCTCTGAAATACAGGGCATATAAGAACATATAAGAAGCCATGTTGGATCAGGCCAAAGACCCATCCAGTCCAACACTTTGTGTCACACAGTGGCCAAAACCCAGGTGCCATCAGGAGGTCCACCAGCGGCTTTAGGAACATAAGAGAAGCCATGTTGGATCAGGCCAGTGGCCCATCCAGTCCAACACTCTGTGTCCCACAGTGGCCAAAACCCAGGGGCCATCAAGAGGTTCCCCAGTGCCTTTAAGAACATACAAGAAGCCATGTTGGATCAGGCCAATGGCCCATCCAGTCCAACACTCTGTGTCACACAGTGGCCAAACCCCAGGTGCCATCAGGAGGTCCACCAGCGGCTTTAGGAACATACAAGAAGCTATGTTGGATCAGGCCATCCAGTCCAATGCTGTGTGTCACACAGTGGCCAAAACACAGGTGCCATCAGGAGGTTCACCAGCAAGGCCGTGACCCAGAAGTGTTGGCTAATGCTGGGGGTGACTCACTCACTCCAAAATTCTATTGCTGCCGCATTGCCCCCAGTGTGATGCTGTTGCTTCTGGGTTGCACTGGAAGTTGTGTCATCGCATGGGGTGATGATCTCAGACCCCAGTCTGGCTGGCCAGTTTCCACCCGCTGACCAGTTGAGCATTGGTGGGCAATGCCCGTAATCCCCTGGAGGGGGGTCTCCTGCCATAAGCGTGTAAATGGTAACCTTATCTGTTTAGGAGGGTACTGTATAGCACGTTTCCACCCGCTGACCAGGTGAGCATTGGTGGGCAATGCCCGTAATCCCCTGGGGGGTCTCCTGCCATAAGCGTGCAAATGGTAACCTTATCTGCTTAGGAGGTTACTGTATAGCACACTGGCTCTGAAATATAGGCCACACATGTTCTCTTGGACTAATCATGATTTCTAAGTAGAAATACATCACAGATGTCACAGGCGTGGTCCAACTGGTGCCTGCGACACTTGTCCTACCACCTTCTTTACAATCACAATAAAGGTGCCAACCTGAGGGTGGAGGAGAATGTAGCAACACAATGCTGCTATAACATGCAACATTTTTAGGTGTCCCCAGGAAAAAAAAAATTATCCTCCCCTATGTATTTCACAACAAAATAGGGTTGCCAAGTCCTACCTGGGGAATCGCGGGGGGAGTCCTGGACGTCTCCTGGAGTCAGGCACATTGGGGGCGGGGCCACAATCATCTGAGGGAAAACCACAGAGTTTCCCCTTGGATGATAGAGCGTCCCCCGCAACGTGCCCGACGTGATTACGTCACCTCCGGATGATGTGTTCACGCCGGACACGTCCCACGCTTTGGGGGTAGGATCCCCCCCCAGTGGCCAATCCCCCCCCCGGCGGGAAACGGGCCTCTCGGGCGGGGGTTTCCCTGCCCCCCAGGCCAATTCCCCCCCGGTGGGGAACGGGCCTCTCGGGCGGGGGTTTCCCTGCCCCCCAGGGGGGACTTGGCAACCCTACAACAAAAGTATGTTGGTTTTGTAGTTTAAGTTTGTGGCTAGAGACAAAACCATCCCCACAAACAAAATTTTAGCAACAGTAACCACAATAAAACTCTCTTTCTGGAACCTGCGGCATACATGAAGATCTTCATGTATTGTGGAACCTCCCAATGTTTATGGTTGGATCTAGGCCCTGTGGGGGACATTTTGTGACTGGCCTCAGTCCCCATGGCAGCCATTTTCTACTGGTGCCCATTCCCCGTTTTCAAATTTCCAAATCTGCCCACAAGGTTCAACAAGACTGGTGACTCTTGCCTCAGATTTATCAGAACTTAATGGGTCACTGTTGTGTCTACGGGGTGCAGATTTCCCGCCACAGTTTCATCCCATTCCATTCCACAGCAACCTCTAGCACTGTGCCGTGTCACTCACATTCAGGCGGAGATATTCCGTCCACTGCCCGATGGCCTTATACCCAGGGATTGAGGTGTTTGTCAGCTGATACTGAAAAATGTCGTAGCGTCCAGGCGCGTCCCCGTTCTCATTGAACATCACGGGTGTTCCGGCACTACCTGGAAAGAGGAAAGGGGTACAAGCAGGAGGCTGATACGTCTCTCCATGTAGGCCTCATCTTAGGCCACCACAAGATATTTGGCTGTTCCAGCAGGGCAGTGGCAGGGAAGGTCTGATCTCTGGACTGTCTTTGTTAAGACGTGACTCCCGACATGGCTGCTTGATAGAGATGCCAGGTCCCCTCATCGCTCTGGTGGGGGGAGTTGGGGAGTGTTCCAGGTCATCCCCAATGCGATGATGTCACTTCCGACATCGCGCCTGCAACACTCTAGTTTGAGGGCAAAACTCTATGGTTTGTAGGCAAATTTACCACAGAGTTTGCCCTCAAACCAGAGCATTCCCCGATGTGATGACGTCACTTCCGGGTGGCGTTGTCATGTCAGGGCGTCGTGCCAGGAAGCCCCTGTTTGGTGGCGGGCTGGCAGTTGGCTGAAGCCCATAGAGTTTTCCCTCGGATGACCGTGGCCCTGCCCCCAGCATGCTCGGCGGCGTCACGTCACTTCCGGGTGCGCGAGGGTGTAGACTTTCCAATTTCCCGGGGGGGGGGGGCTGGGGCTGGGGGTGGGTGCTTTGCTAGGAGCAAGGGTGGCTCCCGGGGGAGGCTGAGCACCTTCCTGAAAAATTCGGCGGGGGCTGAAGTCCCGCCGCCCCCACGAAGATTACGCCTAGCGGCGGGGAATGGGCCTCTGGGGCGGGGTTTTCCCCGCCCCTCAGGGGGACTTGGCAAGCCTAGGCCGGATCTATGCCAGTGGATCGAGGGCCCTAAAAGTGGGCAACCCCCCGCCCCAGGGAATGGCAAGCCTAACTTTGTATCATGTTAGCTTTTCTCCTTTATTTAGGCCCTAGATTTATCATGAGTGCTTCCCATCTACAGATTCCCTTTCACATACAAAACTTTTGTACCCCATTTTGTTTTTGAGGGAAAAAAATTAATCTTAAAAAAGAAAATTAGAAATATTCCATCTAGCTTTCATCTAGTATCTGTGTGTCAGGGACTACAAAAATGCAATCCCCCTCCACCATGCCATGCCACCTATAGTGGTATAGACCAGAGAATTCTTTGCCATTGATGTGCAACATTAGAGTTGCCATCTTACCATGGAGTTTCTAGAGATTCCTAGAGGTACCCTTGTCACTTCTGGGTAAGAAGAAAAAGAAGAAGGTATTGGATTTATACCCCGCTCTTCACTCGGAGTCTCAGAGAGGCTTATAAACTCCTTTCCCTCCCCCTCCCCACAACAGACACCCTGTGAAGTAGGTGGAGCTGACTCTTGGTAGTGTGAGGAACTCTATGGTCAGAACTTCCTGTAAGTAGGCAAGGCCTTGTTTTTATTTTTAATTTGTCTCCCCGTGGACAATTGCACCCTCCCTGCCATTTGGCGCCAGTTTCCCCTCACCAATCACGTGAGCATCGGTGGGCAAATGCCACAATTACCTAGAGGTCTCCTGCCACAAGCTGGCAAATGGGAACCCTGGTAATGTTGCATGCTGGCTGGTTTCACCCGTCACCTTTCTGTAAATTGCCCTTTGTGTCGGAGGGAGGGCTAACCAACCTAACGTCCCTTCCACCAGACAGGCCCCGCTAGCCTCACCATTAAAGTTGACGGAGAGGATGTACTGCAGCAGTGTGCGGCCGTGAATGGGGTCCATCTTTTCGCACACCCCGATCTGGCCCGGGCAGAGGTCCTTGTGCATGTTGTGCAGGGCGTGGGCCATGGCGTAGACGGCGTCGATCACAAACTGCACCTTCCCCTCTTGCTCGTACGATGAGTCTCGTCCAATCCGCTCTTCTCCTGGGAGGACAAATAAAAGAGGTCGGACCTAAGGTTGCCAACCTCCAGGTGAGTCCTGGAGATCTCCTGGTATTACAACTATTGTGTTTTGTATTTGTATTAATGCATTTAATTCGTTTATACCCTGCCTTTTCCCCCAAATGGAGACCCAAAGTGGCTTCTATCATTCTCATCTCCTCCATTTCATTCTCACAACAACCCCAGGAGGTAGGTTAGGCTGAGAGTGTGTGACTGGCCCAAGGTCACCCACCTGTGGCACAAATGGTGATTAGAAATTGGATTTCCCAAATACTAGTCCCACACGCTTAACCAGGGCTCTTTTTGTAGAAAAAGCCCAGCGGGAACTCATTAGCATAATAGGCCACACCCAACACCAGAAACCTATTAGCATATTAGGCCACACCCCCACCAGCACAGCTCATTAGGACACACCCTCATGTTACCAGAAGTGTGGTCATCCAGCCACACCCACCTTTCCCTTCTTATTCTGTTGACCTTGTTTCTTGTCAAAACCCAGGGCTTTTTTTGTAGCAGGAACTCCTTTGCGTGTTAGGCCACACACCCCTAATGTAGCCAATCCTAATGAGTTTCTGCTGTTGGGTGTGGCCTATTATGCTAATGAGTTCCTGCTGGGCGTGGCCAACTCGGGAGCCAGCCGGAACTCCGTTCCTGTGCGTTCCTGCCCAAAAATAGCCCTGCTCTTAACCATTACACTGTACTGCCTCTCTGATCCCCAGACCACAGAGATCAGTTCCCCTGGAGAAAATGGCTGCTATGGAAGGTGGACTATGGCATTAGACCCTGCCTAAGTCCCTCCCCACACCCCACCCGCCCCAGGCTCCACCCCCAAATCTCCAGGTATTTCCTAATGCAGAGCTGACAACCCTAGCTGGACCCTTGCATAGAAGGGATACGTTTCCTTCTTTATTCTGAGTCAGGGCGGAGAAGAGGAAGAGGTGGAGGAGGAGGAGGAGATTGGATTTATACCTCGCCCTTCACTACCCAGAGGAGTCTCAGAGCGGCTTACAATCTCCTTTCCCTTCCCGTCCCCACAACAGACACCCTGTGAGGCAGGTGGGGCTGGGAGAGCTCTGAGAGAAACTGCTCTTTCAAGGACAGCTGTGAGAGAACTTGTGACTGACCCAAGGTCACGGCAGCAGCTGCATGTGGAGAAGTGGGGACTCAAACCCAGTTCTCCCCGATTAGAGTCCGCGTGCGCTCCTACCCACTACACCAAACTGGCTGTCTGATAGCACTGTGGTAAAACAGCGGACTGTCTGTCTTTAAGATGCGAATGTGTTAACTTCGAATGTTCTCCTATATAAAAACAAGCAAACCCTTCCCTGCAAATGTAGTAAACTAGTGCAAAAGAGGGAAAAAAGTGTGTAGTGTAATCCTCATTCTGGTGTATTAATTAATATATGCTTGTGCAGGAAGGTTAAAAATGATAGCACCCCCCAGTATGAAATTCTGGGGCCTATTCGCATGTCACCAAGTCCCTGTGTCCTCAACATGTCCAGCAGAGGTCCTGTTGATAGGTGTGTTTTTGCATTTCTGTGGTTGGCACTTGATTTCCAGGCACACAGTAGGCCGATTTGGAATGGCAGGGAGATGGGGCTTAAGCGCTGTGGTTTTACCATAGAGTTTCCAGTCGTTCCTAGAGTTACCTGACCTCACTTCCGGGTTTCCCCAGAAGTGACATCATAGCACAGATGACATGTCCCTCATCTCCCCACCTAGGGTTGCCAGCTCTGGGTTGGCAAATTCCTGGAGATTTGGGAGTGGAGCCTGGGGAGGTGAGATTTGCTGCCTCCTTGCCCCCCACCCCGGTCAACTGTGTAGCTCAGAGTTCTGAGGTAAAACCACCCACCTCCCTCTGACTGTTCAGCTGAGGATCTCAGTGTTCTGAGGTAAAAACACAGTTAAAAGAGACTGCGGACAGTTGAAGACAGTTACAGAAATCAGCAATTCAAGATTCCTGAATAGACATTTTTCATGACAGCCAGCATGGCAGAGAGGTCCCTCAGTAGAAGAAAACCCCCCACAACAGCACATATGTCTCACTTCACTTTTTGGACTACAATCTTCTCCCTTAGAATTTCCTACAACAAATGTTACATTTCAAACTTCACATCGTCACTATTATAACTCGATTTATGGAACTTAAATACCGTAGCGAAGCACAGGTATCAGGCTAGTTACATATAAAGTCTAGCTCAGGCCTGTGGCCGTCAGCATTCTGGAAAACGCACTTCTGGCTCTCAGGTAGGGTTGCCAATTCTGCGTTGGAAATTCCTGGAGACTTTGGGGGTGGAGCCAGGAGAGGGCGGGTTTTGGGGAGGGGAGGGGCCTCAGTGGCGTACAATGCCACAGAGCCCACCCTCCCAAGCGGCCATTTTCTCCAGGGGACCTGATCTCTGTCATCTGGAGATCAGCCATAATTCCAGGAGATCTTGGAGGTTGGCACCCCTGCTTTTGAGGAACGAGCCTTGAAAGCCACGTAAACAGAGCCGCGCTTAATGTAAGTCAGGGATAACAGCCACCTGTCTGGTCTCCGGAGATGCAAGAAGGCGGAGAACTTTTAGAAAACAGTTTCCTTTTAAGCCGCCAATGGTTAGTCAGGGCTTTTTTTGTAGAAAAAGCCCAGCAGGAACTCATTAGCATAACAGGCCACACCCAACAGCAAACCAATTAGCATATTAGGCCACACCCCTGACAGCAGCTCATTGGCATATGAGGCCACACTCCTGTGTTACCAGAAGTGTGGTCATCCAGCCACACCCACCTTTCGCTTCTTATTCTGTTTACCTTGTTTGTTGTCAAAACCCAGGGCCTTTTTTTGAGCAGGAACTCCTTTGCATGTTAGGCCTACCGTGTTCGGAGAAGTAACAGAGCTGAAGAATAAACCGCATTCTTGCTGAATCACTCTCCGACTTCTTTGTTAAGCGCACGACTTAACATGGCCTATTATGCTAATGAGTTCCTGCTGGGCGTGGCCAACTCGGGAGCCAGCCGGAACTCCATTCCTGTGCGTTCCTGCCCAAAAATAGCCCTGGTTAAAGTGCACATTCAGCAGAAGGATTCTTTTTAAAAGGGAAGGTGAGCATGATTCCCCCCCCCCAAGCATTTCTCTACCTAATTCATTCCCCTCATACATTTTAAACGGACAGTATCCGGGCCCGGAATTCAGCGTGTTGATCCTCCGCCTGCTGTCGGAGGGATGTGTGTGAATGGCAGGCGAGCACAATTAGCGGTTAGCTTGTCAGGCGCCCGCCGTGGGAGAGCTGCAGACAACCCACCGGAGAGGGGGGGAAAGGAATGCGAGGAGAATGGGGGTGGGGGACTTTGCGAGGCTAATTAAAATCCAGTTGGGTTCTAATCTGGGATTTTCCTGGCGATCAAGTGCATTTTGGATGGGACCAATAGCAGCAGGCAGGGGGAACGTGGGGGTTATCTGTGGGGTGGGGGGAAGAGATGCTGGCATCTCGTTCCCTGCCGCCCTGCCAGAGGGGGGGATTGAGGTCTCTAATCCCCTCCGTTCCAGTAGAGCTGTGAAATGAACCCAGCGGTTCTGCAGCTTCCTGATAACATCCCCTTTGCCTCAAAGCCCCAGGGATTACTGCACAGCAGGGCGGGAGGGAGTCACTGGGAAAAGACAGGGTGCGGCGCAAGGTTGCCAGCCTCCAGGCGAGGCCTGGAATTCTCCTGGAATTACAACTGATCTCTGGAGGAGAGATGCGTTCCCTCGGAAGAAAGGGATTCAGAGGGAGGGTAGGCAGTGCCCCCTCTAAGCTGTGGAGTCCTGTGAGCAAAGACTCTACTTTGTGAGCTACTTGGAGAGAGCCGTGAGCTACTTTGTAGAGCCGTGAGCAAACGGTTTGGCTACCGCGTAGATTGATTTGCTCCGGAGCTGTCCTTCCTGAGCGAAGACAAAAATGTGTGAGCTGGAGGGTAAAAAACTGTGAGCTAGCTCACACTGACTCAGCTTAGAGGGAACACTGGGGGTAGGCATCTTGATCTCCAGTAGAAGAACAAGATTCAAGTCCGGTTGCAACTTCGAGAGCAACGAGATTTCCAGGATATACGCTTTCGGGAGTCAACGCTCTCTTCATCAGATACAAGCAGGAACGGCGCTCCCTCAGCACTCGTATCCGATGAAGGAAGTTGAGACCCTCGGAAGTTCATCCCCTGAGAATCCCGTTGGTCTCAAAGGTGCTCCTAGGCTCGAACCTAGTTCCCCTAGAGGAAATGGTCGCTTTTGAGGCTGGACTGTACGGCATTAAAACCCTGCAGTGCTCCCTCCCCAAATTCTATTGCTCCCAAATTTCCAGGATGTTCCTAAGCTAGAGTTGGCAGCCCTAGCTGCGTAGTTGGCAGGCACGTCTCCATATTTATCCCTCCTTGCTTTGAGCACCCCTGCCGTTCATACCCGTGCACTTCCGTGCCTCCTCTTCGGGTTGCGTCCCCGGCCGGGTCAGTTTGCACCTGAAATCCTCCTCCCAGTATTCGGCAAACCAAATGTTGCGCCGGTTGTTCTCCAGGGAGCGTGTGGTGAAGTACTGGTCGAATCCTGGGTGAGCAAGGAAGGAGAGCGTGTGAGCAAAGGGGGTAATAATTATAGTATAGCCAGGAGATCCTAAGATTGTCTGGCAGCCAGGAGTTCTAGGTCTTTTAGTGTTATGCGCCACTAGGTGGCGACACAGACTTGTTTTTAAGGCAAGAGATGTTTCAGAGGTGGTTTGCCATTGCCTGCCTCTGTGTCATACCCCTGGTATTCCTTGGAGGTCACCTGTCCAAATACTACCCAGGGCTGACTCTACTTAGCTTCTGAGCTGGCCTTGGCTATCCAGGCCAGCAAAGGGGGTAGCCAAGGCCGTCCTCTGTAGCGGGATGTGCAGGTCATGCTTACCACTGTGCTTTCAAAAACTCGGATCTCCCTGCTGATTTCTGCACATCGAACCGCTGTTAAAGGTACAGGAGCAGGCCGGGTGGGTTGCTTTTCTAGTCAGTTGGCAAACCGTACCCTATTTTTCCAATACTTCCTTTCCCTAATGATTAGTGCTGGCTGTGTAGACCTGGCTGGAGATCTGACCTTCTGCATTTAGAAACCTTTTATTTTGCCCCAGCTGGTATGACTCGGTGCAAAGGACAGGCTGCCTTTACCTTTAAAAACCACGGAGAGGATAGAAAAGTGTCCGGTGCAGCTATTCTCCTTCCATTCACCCCACCCCCAAGAAGGACAAACACACATGCGAGAATGGCAAGGCCTGAAGTCCTTTCCTCCTGCGCATCTAATTGCAAACCGGCTGCCATTATTCAATAACATTCTTCACATGCTCAGAGTCATTTCTGTCATTATTTCTTTATTTGTCCCTGAGCTGAACCCTATCTCTGAAAACAGATGGAAAGGCTAAGAGCCAACATACACATTACATTTGACACTGTGAGGGGCTGTACCTGTGGGTATTCAGGCTTCTCTCCCATGTCTTTTTCTCCGGTAGAATGGCCCAGAGGTCAATCCCTGCTCTAACATATGACTATGGGCTGGGCACCAATGTTCCCTCTAAGCTGTGGAGTCTTGTGAGCAAAAATTCTACTTTGTGAGCTACTGGCATTAAAGTTGTGCAAGTGATTTGGCTACTGCATAAATTAGTTTGCTCTGGAGCCGTCCTTCCTGAGCTAAGACAAAAATGTATGAGCTGGAGGCTAAAAAACTGTGAGCTAGCTCACACTAACTCAGCTTAGAGGGAACATTGCTGGGCACCCATATCCCAACACGTATCAGACATAACGTGTATTTTGGCCCTAAGTTTTGGAGAATCCAAAACCAGGAACGCGAGCCATGTAATACCTTTTATCAGAGCAGAAGCAAATGGTGCCGGTTTCAAGTTGCATCTGTTTTTTCTCTGTGCAAGATGCGCTAAATCAATTTCATTCCATACACACAAGTCCAGCAACTGAATATCTCTCTAAACCTGTGGCTGATGGCTAAATCCAAGGATCATTTAGTAGAAAAAGAGGTGCAGGAGCTCATTAGCATAACTTATTAGCACAACTCATTTGCGTATGCCACATCCCCTGACATCACCGGAAGTGTGTCAGAAGGCAACACCCACCGCTCAGGCTCCACTGGACTGTTTTGGATTGCTAGCTATTGTGGGGGGGGGGGGGCGTGCAGATCTGTCCTTGCAGAGGAGGGAGAGCTTGTACCTGAATAAAACTTGGTCTTAAAGGTGCCACTGGACTGTTTTGGATCGGGGGGCCGGGGGGGGGAGCTCTGCAGCTTACCTGGCTGCTTCTTGCTCTGACTGAGGGCTGCTGAGAGCAGGGGGTGGGGCTTGTTGCATGTGCCTGCCCCCTGGGCTCTTTACTGCTGGAGCTCTGCTCCTGTGCGCTCCTGCAGGAAATGACCCCTGGTTAAATCTATGTATTTTGTCGACTATCTGACCGAATTGCTTGAATTGATGTCGGTTTTAACTCAATTTTTTGTCACGATCTTAATGATCATTTATAAAATCGTAGCGTATATTAGAGTTTTTATTGTTATTGTGACTGTGGCGTTGTAACTCTGATGCTGTTGGTATTTTTGGTGTTAACTGCTAAGGCTGTGAGCTAATGCAATAAAGCGCTATGACTGATTGATTGGTCTCTCTAAACCAATGAGATTCAAAAGCTCCTTTTGGAAGAGAGAGAGCAGAAATTACTTGGCAGCCATTGCATTTAAGGTATGACAAAAGAAACAGATTCAGCGGAGGCTGAACTGGGTAGTTTTAATCTCATGTTGCTTTCTCACAGACGTAGTCTCTTCCTTGTCCCCCAGTTGGCATGTACCAACCAAGGTACCAGTTTGGTGTCGTGGTTAGGAGCACAGACTCTAATCTGGGGGAACCGGGTTTGATTCCCCACTCCTCCATGTGCAGCTGCTGGTGTGACTTTGGGTCAGTTGCAAGTTCTCTCAGAGCTGTTCTCTCAAGAGCAATCCTTGAAAGAGCTCCCTCAGCCCCATCTGCCTCACAGGGTGTCTGTTGTGGGGAGGGGAGGGGAAAGGAGATTGTGAGCCGCTCTGAGACTCCTTCAGGTAGTGAAGGGTGGGGTATATGTCGAATCTCCTCTTCTTCTTCTCTTCTTTATCTGCTGAATTTAGATATAAAAGTCTGGGTACAGTCTTCTGCACACTTGCCCCCCCTCTCCTTTTTCACAGTTGTAGAGTCACTTTATTGTCTTCTACTCGTGCTTTAAATAATCAGGATTTCTAAGGGAGGGTGCTGTCGTCACCAGTGGCGTCATTGGTGGCATCACAGTAGCTCCTTTTTATTTGGGGGGGCATTCTTATCTTGAGATATGTCTTTTTCTTTATATCCAAGGATTAAGAAAAACTGGGCTACACCCAGCAATGTGCCAGCAGAACGAAAACGGGGGAAATGCCAGGTGATAGATGACTGATCTATTATACAAAGTCCCTGCACATTTCACCATGTAGGCTTTGCCAGGGAGAAGAAGAAGAAGAGATTGGATTTATACCCCGCCCTTCACTACCTGAAGGAGTCTCAGAGCGGCTTACAATCTCCTTTCCCTTCCCCTCCCCACAACAGACACCCTGTGAGGTAAAAGAAGAAGAAGAAGAGATTGGATTTATACCCCGCCCTTCACTACCCAAAGGAGTCTCAGAGCGGCTTACAAACTCCTTTCCCTTCCCCTCCCCACAACAGACACCCTGTGAGGTAAAAGAAGAAGAGATTAGATTTATACCCCGCCCTTCACTACCTGAAGGAGTCTCAGAGCAGCTTACAATCTCCTTTCCCTTCCCCTCCCCACCACAGACACCCTGTGAGGTAAAAGAAGAAGAAGAGATTGGATTTATACCCCGCCCTTCACTACCTGAAGGAGTCTCAGAGCGGCTTACAATCTCCTTTCCCTTCCCCTCCCCACAACAGACACCCTGTGAGGGAGGTGGGGCTGAGAGAGCTCTTTCCAGAACTATCCTTGAGAGGACTGCTCTGAGTGGGGAATCAAACCCGGTTCTTCCAGATTAGAGTCCGTGCTCCTAACGCGTGCTGCTGATGTAAACAAGCAGTCACTCACGTGGCTTGCCCAGAGAACTGTCCCTGATGCCCTCCAACATCCTCTCATACTTGCAAACTGAGCGATTACAGAGTGATTAGAGCAGCACTGGATTATCTCATTAAAAACGATGCTTTCAGCAGGTGTACTTTCGTGAAAAATACAGAAGGAGGCACAGTGGTTCTGTTGTGGCCCCATTTCCCAAACCATCCTGGTAGAACAGAGGACGCTGCTTTTGTCTTCCTGTCTGTCCCTCCTCCTTTCTCCATCTCCCTCGTCCCTCTCCCCTCTCTCCACCTCCCTCTCCCCATTATTAATTCTCTCTCCCTCTCCCCTCTCTCTATTATTCATTCTCTCTCTCTCTCCCTCTCTCTCCTCTCCACTCTCCCTCTCTCCCTGTTTTCCTCTCAATATCCCTCTCCCTCTCCTCCTCCCTTCTTTCCCATCTCCCTCGTATTCCCATCTCCCGTTCCCCCTTATTCCCTCTCCTGTCTCCCTCTCCCCCTTTCTTCCTTTCTCACACTCTCTCCATCTCGCCTCTCTCTT